TTTATTGATAAACTATGATGAAAATGCAAAGGTAAATGGTGATAACAGCAAACAAGAGACAAAAGATTGAATGATCTTTGTGACAGCTCTCTCTAGGGATAGCCTATAAGACTTAATGCTCAAAGACAACCTTTGCCTAAGGAAAAAACTAGAAGGAAGGAACCCTTTTAAATCTTTGCAAGAGTTCATAAGGACTTTATGAGTTTTTAGATTTAGCAGTTAAGAAACATTCTTATTTTCTCCTACACGTAATGCAAGTTTGTGATGAACATAGGAAAACTATTTGGAGATTTAAAAAATTCTATATACCAATGAGTTGCACCCTTGGAAAGAAGGTTTACACATAAGCCATCCAACTGTGCTTTTAATAGTGTCACTCATTCAGTGGGGATTATGCAGCAGATACAACACTCTTGCTTTTCATTCCCATAAGTAGTAAAAATTAAGAAAAGCCAAACTCCAAGTGCATTTAGATCTTTTCCAACGAGCTGGTGTCATTTAGTTAGCAATGTTTTGTAGTGTTTAGCACCTCTGGCGTCGTTACTCTATAAGAAGTACAGAGTACACCAATACTATAAACAATGGTGTACACTTTTGTCCTTTCTGTCAGTTCTGCAGAAACTCACAAAAGATTAAGGACCTGTGATGTCAGGGACAATTTGATTCACTAGAGAATAGATTTTATGTTAAATATACTAACATTATGCTCATAAGTTTCATGTCTAGGCACCTGCTTTATGTGCTCATCACACAGAAACAACAAAACAATCTCCCAGAACCACAGTAACACCTTTAGTATTAAAGCTATTTGCTGGATGTTGTACAGGAACATGGAGGGGGAGGGGGAGGGAAAAATGGAATTTTAGTTCTTTCCCTCAGTGTATACTTACTGAAATGTTTTAGCTCATGGCTACCCCCAGGAAGATCATAGCAGAGGGAAAACATTGTTTGGATAAAAATATTTGCCTGTTTGAATGACCTGTTTCATACTCATTTAAAAGTCTGATGCCAACCAGATGCCCCACAATGACGGTAAATTTAATTTACTCCCAATTTCTCAAACTCATCTACAGATTCAGGCAGCACAGTCACAGCCATTAGCTCACTGAGCCTGGATAAATCATTGAAGGAATGGAATTGATCAGGCAGATAGATTGCAGTACATGGCTAAGAGTCTCCTAGGAAGAGATGGCAGAAATCCAACATCAAATAGATGATGAAATGGCCATTTCCATTAAGGGAACATCACATCACAGATATTAATTAGGAGGCACAATAATAGAGTTAAGTGGATGTGGGGGAAAATGCTGAGTTAACAGTTACCCCAGATGTCCTTAGCCTTAAGTAATTAAAGATGTGAAGGTGAGTCATGAATCTGCAATTTTTTATTCATTTAACAATGGCTGCAGGTAAATTAGAGCCCAGATGTAACTCCAAAGTGATGATCCTTTTTTAGAGTGGATACAAACTATATTTAGTAAAAAAAGAAAAAATGCTAATGTTTTCCTTTTCCTAATTCCCAGGGAAATCACAACCTTCATTTACAGCAACATTAATGGTAGGTGACAAGACTGTCACTACTTTCCTATTATAAGAACAATAAAGCATATGAAGCAAACTAGCTTTGAGTTTAAATGACCAGTATTCACCAACTTCTTTGTTTCATGGATGTAAATACATCAACTGATGGATTATTTGGTTCTGAGGACTGAGAACCAAACCCAGCTCAACCACTAAAAATTAAAAATATTTTCAAGTATTATTACATACATTTAAATATTAAAGACGGTCACATTCCAGACCTTCAGAGTTTCTCTAAAACAATATGAAACCAATATTCAAAGTATTTATTTGCCCCCAAAATGGATTTATGACAGCTTAATTTTTTTGTTCTGTAATTGCTTGCACTTTCTGCTTCCCTAATACTTTCCAAATTCATCCTTCCTATCTGCATACATCATAAACAACAAATACAGATAGATGACCAATATGTGAGTTGAGACAATGTTGAAAACAACAGTAAGGTTTATCTTCCCATTTCAGTACAGTTTGGATCACAACCTCAGAATTCTGGATGAAATACTTTAAATTATTAACTTGAAATAGTTGAGACTCTATCCAAGAAGAAATTCCTTTGCTGAGGTTCCATTCTTAATTTCCTGCATAAAGTCAGATAATGAACAATTTTTGTCTTTTTGCTTTACCTCACCAAAACAGTAGAATCACAGGGGTGTTATAAGAAATAACACAGGTTGTCTAAATGATGTGTAATAACTTGTTGAAAGCCCTTTAGCAACAAGCACTTATGAAAGAGAAGAACATATTGGCAAAAATGGAGAAAAAACCTGTATAAATTTTCTCCTCCATAAATGCAATGAGAAAAGAACAGATGAAAAATTATGAGAATCAACTTTTTCTGAACTGTGGGCATTACCCAAAGGCTTGCTGTAGTCCACAGAGTGTTTATTAAAAGAAACTTGGCTGAAACTTGGTAAGAACAGTGAGTTTTGTGGTGTTTTAACTTGCCCTATTCCTATTCTGCTCACCGAAGCTCTATGGCAGTCTTATAAACCAACAGCCGTAATCACAGTGAAAATCAGCAATTTAGCCTAGTAGCCAACAGAGGGGTCAGAAGAGGACTGAACCTCCTTCAAAGCCTCATTCTCAGATAACTGTCATCACTTGACTTGTCTGGTGGTTCCCTGGAAGACCTCACTCATAAGGCTGTGTTTATTTGATCTGACTTTGAGTTTGCCCAGTGCAAAAAAGCTAAATCCACAGGGGCATTTGTTGAAAACAATTACAGGCAATTTCTTAACTGTGCGGCTGCCTGAGGCAATAGCAGATAATAGCTGGGGCAAACAACAGGCTAACCAAAAGGCTTCAAAGGAAAAGCTGAGGAATGAGATGTCTGTAAGGGGCTTTGAAATGTTCTAAGTATTCCTAGGAACCTACAAGTCTACAATCATGTCCATGGCTGTGCACACACCCAAGAAATTCCTGAGAAGGTCCTAAGCTCTCCTTTTTGTTTGAGTTGAAGCCCTGGGCAAGCAGGAAATGAAGTGTCAAATCCCTGGTGGAGTGTTGAAGGTGAGCCCCAAAATGCACACAGACCCTTCTGGCAAAGACTGATAGATTTACTGGTTTTAGGTATTTAAAGAACTCTCTGCCCAATCATTAGCTGATCATTAATCTAATCAAGTAGATTAGTGGGCATACACAAAAACAGTACAGGTTCTCTAGAATTTGTTTAGGAAAGTAACTAAATAAGCAACAATAAGCAAACAATAAGCAAACAATAAACACCAAAAACAAACTCTAGGGGAAGGGGATAATCTGATTTTGAGAGTCACCATATTATTAAAATATCCAGTTTTCAACAACAACAAAAAAAAGGGAGAAATGCAAAGAAATGAAAAAGTAGAGGTCATACCCAGGAAAAAATTGTAGTCAATTTGAACTGTCCTTGAGGAGCTCAGATGTTGGACTTACTAAACAAATATTTTAAATTGGTTATTTTAAATATGTTCAAGGAACTATAGGAAATTATGTCTAAAGAGCTAAATCAAAGTATGAGAATAATGCCTCACACACATAATTCCAATAAAAAAGATAGAAGTTATTTAAAAAATTAGAGATTCTGGAGTTTGAAAAGTACAATAACAAATAAAATTTCACTGGAGGGGTTCAAAAGCAATTAAGGCAAGTAGAAAAATTAGCAAACTTGAAGATAGACTAACTGAGATTTCTTTAGTCTGAGAAACAGAAAGAATAGAGAATGAAGAAAAATGAATAGCACTTGAGAGACCAATGAGACATTACCAAATGTACCAACTACACATAATGGGTGTCCCAGAAGGACAAGGAAGGGATAGAAAAAAATATTTGAAAAAATAATAGCCAAAAATTTACCAAATTTACCTAAACATTCAAGATGCTCAATGAACACTAAATAGGGTAAAGTCACAGAGATCCTAAACACATCATAATCAAACTTACTTTCTGTCATGTACCTCACTGGAGGTAAATGAGCTCAGTATATATTTGATATAATCATAGGGAATGGTTTTTCTCCCACTGTAATCTTTGGAATAACATCTGACCACATTCTCTGACCCAGATGAATATTCAATCTCCTATACTAATCTTAAAGAAGCAACAGATTCAAAGAGGAAATTAAAAATCCTCTTTGGAAGAAAGAAAAAAGTACCAGCAATTGGTGACTGATTATGGCTTTTATGTGGGAATGCTCTTTTAGGTATTCAAACACAAGGCTTAACTTACCTATGGTGGCTGATTAGAGTTTCTGAAGAGCTATGAGTTAATCATTTTATTTTTGCAGCTCATTCACAAGAAAATACTGTGACATAGTGATATCTCAAGTTAAAGGATCTTAAGTAAAGAAAAAAATTAAATCTCAATAATAAACTTAAATTAGAAATTTGATTGTAGTTCTCTCTCCTCTTCACACATGAGCTTAACTCAAAGAGGTGCTAAGATAATCACACTATTTCTCTTAGGATTAGAAATTAGGGTAAACAAAAAGTTACTGATTTATTTCTCTTCTATAATACTCTGTTGTATTGACTTTCCAAACACTGTAACCATGCTTTTTATATTTATATAAAGTGTCTTCATACTGAAGTATAACAAATCACTTTGGAAACATAATGGAAGAAAAATAATAGAATACATGCTCAAAGACATATCACTATCTTCTTTTTAAGGGCATTGTAACATAAAATTTCAACCTGGAATGGAATAGTGTTTACTCTTGTTTCTCAGATGAAGATGCCAAGAAAGAAAAAGTGGGCATAAAAGGTCTTACTCAAGATTAGGAAAATACAACTATAGCAATTTCAAAAAAACCAAGTATAAATTAATGAATAAAAATATTGGGACTATGCGTATGGTAGAGAAAAGTTATATGGGTGACCTTTAGTGTTCATAATAGATACTCAGAGATGAGGACAATACCCAATTGACTAGACTTCCCCAAACTAACCTGTGATGATAAGACATTCACTGTGGTCCAGAACTTCAGTGAAGAGCCTTGAAACAATCAACTCAGGGTTGATTAAAAAGCGGATTTCTTCTTGCACAAGTCCTGCACTGGTTACACCACCTCCAACAAAGCGGTTTGCAAAATCCACCTATTTGGGAAAAGTGGCATGTTAAATGATGATCAAAAATACCTACCTATGATAAAGAATTGTACTCCCACTAAGCTCCAATCTTCCCTTCCTTTCTGATGAAATATATCTCCAAATTAGTAATCTTCCCAGGGAGAACAGTTTGTGGTTAACTGCACCCTTACCATCTTCTCACTGCAATTAACATCTCTGTATATTTCTTTGGACCCAAAACCTCAGAAGGAACCTGGAAAATGGAACTTTTAGGCAAAAGCCTCAATGTAATTATAAGGACTTTTGTTTATAAACTTTATTTGTACCTCAAGGGCCAAAAACCAAGGGAAGGTTTTATCTGGAAAGGTTTCAAGACCATTTCCCCACCATTCATTGCTCAATTTCCATTTATGTACTTCATATGACTCTATATTTTTATGTAATATGGCAATCAAATACTTGTCATTAAAGAACAGAAAAATTTAGTAATTGACCTTTTTTGGGTAACAGTTTTCTTCTGTGGAAGAATAAAGGGATGGAAATTTCAGCCCCCTAAATTCAACTGCAAACCCCGAACTGCATGAATGTTACCAACTATTGATGGAACAATATGTAAGAAAAGAAGTGGTTTCCAATTTTGCCTTACTCTATTTGAGGAGGCAGATTACACACAAACACACAATTTGCGCACATACAGAGTCATACACACACATACAAAAATGTAGTAAGTAATGTAAGAATTTAAAGTAATATGAGAGGCTTAAATACTGTATAGGAATAGACGCACTCCTGTGTCTCCTTTACTCTCCTACTACTTCTCTCCCACACTCAACACTTGACATCAGATGTGTGAGTTTCCATGCATGAAGCAATTCTGTAACACCAGCTGGGTGTCTTGAGCAATTCGAATCAGTTCTAGTGCTGTCTACCTGGAGTTAGCAACAGATTTTATAGGCCAATATTTCAGTCCCACTTCAGATGCTAATCACAAGTGCCAGGTTGTCACCTGTCTTTCTAGTTAACTAGCTGTAAACTGGGGTTCCCAAGATCCTCCCTTCCTGGGGGTTGATAATTTGCTAGAATAGATCACAGAACTCAAGGTAATACTTACATTTACCAATGTATTAAAAAAGCTATAAAAAAGGATACAGATCAATAGCCAGATGAAGAGATACATAGAGAAAAGTATGTGGGAAGAGTCACAGTTACCATGCCCTCCCTGGGGAAGTCACTCTCCCAGCACCTCCACATGTTCACTAACCCAGGAACTTTCTGAGTCTCATATTCTGGGGATTTTTGTAGATGCTTTATCATGTTGGCATGGTTGATCATTAACTCAGTCTTCAGTACCTCTCTCTTTCCCAGAGGTGGGGGTAGAGCAGAAAGTTCCAAACTTCTAATCATGGCTTAATCTTTCTGGTGACCAGTGTCTAACCTGAAGCTATCTGAAAGTCCATCAAGAGCTGCCTCATTAGAACAAAAGGCATGTCTATCACCCACAAAATTCCAAGGGCTGTAGAATATCTGTTGCAGAAATAAGAGTCAAAGACCAAATAATAGAGCAAAAGATGCTACTAGTACTCTTACCACTTAGAAAATTTTCAGGAGCTCTGTGCCAAGAATGAGGGGCAGAGACCAATATATACATTTTCTCACTTATACCTTCTATTATCTCACATATATTTTCAGACTATTGTCAAACAGAAGATTTCTCAAAACTTCTGTTCTCTAAAGCAATTATTTATATTAAATGATAACCTGAAGCCTATTTTACAAAAGAGTAAAACAAGAATATGAATCTCTGATATGTAAAAATACATGTGAAAAAACAGAAATTAATAGAAAGTACAGTCTTCTCTCACGGCAGAAAAACTTAGAAAATACTGAAAAATATGATTGGTCTGGTTCTTGAAATGAGTTACCACAGAAAATATTTATTTGGGTTTATATTCTAGCATACTAAATCAACACTAAAAAAATCAGAGGAACTCTTCAGCTTACATAGAAAAGTAGTTTTGGTTAAACTAGTTCATTGATTAAAATTAGTTCCCTTACTACATATGAGGTCTTTATGTATTGGGTGATTTACGGCTTCAACTGTTCAATTCAATAAATACTCACTGAATATTGTACTGGGAACCATGGGATACAAATATAAATAAGACAGGTTCCTGGCTTTACAACATTTACAATGTAGATGGGAGTCAGGCAAACAGAATAAGATGATTATTAAAGAAAATATGAGTATGTATCCTATACTTCTCAGATAATACAATTAACTAAAATTGGAGCATGGGGAGGAAGGGCAGGGGATCATTACAAGAGGACATGGCATTCAATCTAGGTATGCTGACATTCACCCTGAGGGAAAGCTATACAAGGACACTGGAAAAACCAACTGCCAAGAGCTGTATGAGGAGAGTGGTGAGCAGATCCTTCATGCCTGTCTGCAGTATAGAGTATGTGAAGGGTTAACAGTTGGTGATGTGATGTTTTGGGATCCAGGAAATTTTAAGTTAATTCTGAAGGTTCTGGGAAATCTTCTAAAAAAAATAGTAACAACTGGACCTGTATTTTAGGAAGATAACTAAGGCTTGAGTTTAAAGAATGAACTGGAAAAGTGTAAAATTAAAAGCAAAGGTTAAAAGGCTGGTTAAGTGACTACTGAATAGTTTATAGACAGCACTACTAGGACCTCCAACAGGGCAGTGGGAAACAAGGTGAAGGGAACAGAGACTCAGCGAAGAAATAAAATGGACAGCACTTGAAAACTGAGAGACTGGCTAAGTAAAATGGTACTGTGAATGCAAATGAGAAACAAAGTTTGAGATCAGCTAAGCTTAATGTACTGGAACAAGGTACATAACTAAAATAAAAGATATGCTCTATTTACCTTATGTACTATTTGGTAATGGTAAGTGAAATACATTTAATGTGCAGGCTACTATTCATTCTTTCAATAGAAGGCCAACTTTTATTACTTGAAAGGTATGCATAGATATAAATATACTAAACTCAGTATGCCTCTGAAAGCAGCGGTCTTTTAGAAAATCAAAGTTTCTACTACTTAAAAAAGTTCTTAATAAGAGTTCTTTCTATTACAGGTGAGAAACCTGTTCCAGTACATGTAAACAAGCATATGATTGATTCTTTATTTATAGTCAGTCATTTTCCAGCTCACTTTACTTTAAAGCTACTTGTTCAGATTACTCAGTTTCTGAATTACAACCTGATGAAAGGAGAGAAATGATAACCCTTCTTAAAGAGGTTTTGTTGTTGGCAATCAGCATAATACACATGGAGCTTTGCAGCGATACAATACAGTATTCCGATCTCCTGGAGACACATGGCATGCTTCGGGAGAGTAATTTAATAGAAGCCTTTATAGTATTCTTTTAATCTACTGAGGTTTCACATTTCATTTATAATATATTCTAGGGAAGTGGGGGGAATCTCAGCCTTGAATGTTGTTAAGTAATTCTTCATTGAATTGTATTGTAATGAAAGGTCAGCATTCCTGTGGTGCTAACTAGCAGCAGCTTTGTTATTTCATGTATATTGACTCCCTCAATTAATCCAAGAGTTTAATATAGAAAAGAACATTATCAAGATGGAAATGTGGGGGAAAAGTGATACTCATTTGAAACACATTTTAACCATACTTCAACATTATTGTTTTAAAATAGAAGAAAAGGTACCAATCAAATACAAATTCAAAAAAAATTTTAAGTTCAGTACAAATATTAATTCACTTATCCTATGTATTTTTGTTTATAATTGCAAATAACCATAAGCAAAAGGTGATTTAAAACAAAAAATGCCTTGCTTCTTTGAAGACTTCAATTACAAATATGTTTAAATAAAAGATCATCCTAAAATGAAGTTTCATGAGACAATTAGAGCTTAAGTATAAAATAACTAGCCAAACACACAACAGTCTAGTCATTTTACAATAAGCATTGTTATTCAAACAAATCAGCCCATTCTCAGGCAACTGCTTTATTTAACTTCTGACCCAAAATAAGTATCAAGAAAGGATGAAAGTAGAAAACTCAGCTATCCTGGTATAAATGAAATGATGTACAAGCTTCTTTCAAAGAAAACTGAGATTACAATGCTCTTCTAAATGAGATAAGAACACAAATCACTAACATTTTGCCTCTCATTACTGATTTTTAAAAAAAGATCACTATAAAGCAAAAGGAAATTATATATTCAGGTTACATATTAGAACAATGTAAAGCTAGACACGCAGGATGTTTAATTTGTTAACTCCTTTTTCCAAAAAAAATATATACTTATAGTAAAGACAGTAACAGATTGATAGCAAAGACTGAGACATGAACAAAATTATTTGTTCTAAAACAGGGAAAGACAGCCAGCATAGTTGGCTCACAAGCCTAAAATTTACAGATGGGAGAGAGGACTTTCTTACCTATCAGTTTTTGATGTCTGCCTCCTAGACCTAAACAAGGCTGGTGGCAGAAAAGCATTTCAAGCTGGTCATCACTAGGGCAGAGCAAGAGCCTTTAAAGAACAAAACTGCCTCGTGACAGCTTGTCAAGACCATACCCTAGGAACTTCTTCCCCTGTCAATCTACAATTAGTGTCTGAACCAAGAGGCCTGATGTTATCCAGATCTTAGGATTTTCTGTCAAAGGCTTTTTAAAGAGGCACATGTAAGTAAGAGAGAGTATACATTGGCAAATAATATTACCAAGGCTGTCAAGATGATCTGTTTGGTATTTTCCTCCATTCTGCTATCATGCTTCCTTGCATTAAATCAGTTTAGAAGATAAATAAACCGTTTTTCAAATTTCCTTTGCTGTCAAAAGCTTGACAGGAGAAAGCCCCAAAAACGTGCACACTGCTGTGATTCACCTACCTGTAGCATGCCTTGACCATTTCTTTCTATGGTACCTTCGTAAGTGACATGCAATCGAGTCAGGGGTTTTTCACATCTACGATTTAAAAAGATATTCCTGTATTTATTTTGTAATGACAAGTATTTCATGGCAGAAAAATCTGAAAATATACATAACCATAAAAGAAAAACTGGAACCACTCCAAATCTCAAAAGACAGAAAGATGCCTACTGTTAACATTCTTGGTATACATTCTCCCAAACTTCCTCTTATTCAAATATATAAATATACATATTTAAATTTAAATGGGATAACATACTGTTTGAAATGTGTTTTTCCCCTATCAGTTTTTCCTCTTTAAATGTTGAAAAACTTCTCAAAATATAAAAAATTAAGATCTATGAAATATTATTATTATGCTAGAGTTGGTAACCTAAGACAACATACAGAAAAAACTGGCAATAAATCATGTGTGACTCTCAGATGAGCAGTATCTTCACTAGTTTGATAACCATGAGTCTTATGGTGGAGGGTGGAGGGAGGTGCGGTGTCCTTATGAGAACATGCCACAGAAATTGTGACCTACAGTATTTCTTTTTGAATCATTGTTAATATTTAAATATAAAAAGCAATGACTTTTTAGACGTATACACAGATCTAATAGCCAAAATGTACAGAGGAAACGAGCTCCTGCTCTGTCGTCCACAGTCTTCATCCTGTGGTTGAAGCTGCTGCCTGCCTGCCCTCCTTTCCAACATACAGAGTTCACAGTGGCTGCTTTATGCTGTGATGCATTTTGTATTTCATATTGTGTGCATGTCCCTCCCCAACATCTCCATTCTTAAAAACAAAACAGTCATTAATGGTCAGGGGTACATCTTTCCTAATGGCATCAGTTCCTACCCCACAGTGGGATAGTGAGGGGATCTTGCGGTCAAGGGTAATTTAGTGAAATGGGTGGGAAGGCCAGGGCTGGAAAAACTGCATCGCTGTACTCTGGTTATAGTGAGGAGAGAAGAAACAAATCAGGATGGTGTGGAGGACACATGTGCAAGTTGGGAATTTCCATGGGACAAGACTGATCTTAGATCAATGTGCAAAGTTAAAAGAAAAAAAATCCAAATAATCAGCAGTTCAAACACTATCAAATCTTCAAACTTCTCCGACCAAGATGGATCAAGTATAGAAGTAACTATTATCTTTCCAGGAAGTGAAGGTAGAGCCTCTGGCATTCCTGCTAACAACTCTGTGTTGGGACCTAGAAGCATCTGCCGTTGCTGCAGTTGCTGCTGTTGCCCCATTTGCAACTTCTCAGTCTCAAAGACAATAGAACCAACCAGGATCGTGAAGGAAGTAGTCCCAATCCATAAGGCTGCCCTGGAAAACCTGTACATTTTCTGAGTCACAAAGAGGGAGAGGACCTTCTCGGGAAACATTTCCATCAGACCCCATGGTCTCTCCGACAGGGTTTCATCTAGCTCCTCGTCGTCTTCCTCTTCCAGCTCCTCCTCAGTCTTCTCAGCATCGCCTTTCAGAAGCAATTCGTCCAGGGACAGGGGCGCACCAGGGCCAGCGGCGGGGGCGGCCATGGCTGAAGGGAGACTCCGGAAGCGGAAGAGCTACAGTATTTTTATATTAACTAAATTGATGGATGAACCTAGTACCTTCTTCCCTGAAACATAAAACCCTCAAGTGCAAGGTGCCCTCCCTATATCTGGAGGAAGAGAACATCCATATCTCTGAAGACAAAGGGTTGCCAAGAAGACTCCTCATCCTGTTAAGGCCTTGAAAAGTTTCCCCTAGTTTACTACAATTACTTCATACTCCTCATCTTGTTACATTCCTCCACAGTTGCCCATTCTTCACCAAGCCTATCATAAGAGTATACGGGTCTAACAGGTCTGTTTCTTTGATCCTTGTTTCCTTATGAAGGCTCCCGTGTGAAACTTACATGAAATAAATTGCATGCATTTCTCCTGTTAATCTGTCTTTGCCAATTTAATTTTCAGATCCCACCAAGGGCCCCAAGAGGATCAAGATAAACCATTCTCCTCCTTTATAGTGTTTACCTGGCTTGTATTATCTTAAAAAAACCAATTCCATTTTATTAATAGCATTTGATGATGCCATTTTTCTCTAGTAAACTTCTTCCCCTGGTTACTTACTGAATAAAAAATAAATTATAATGGAATGTAACAGATGAGATCCAAACCCCTTAATTATATAAGGGTGGCATTAATTGGGGGTTGGAAGAGAATCCATTTTTTAAAGAAACAAGTTAGCTGGGGATGCACTATTTATTTACTGGGATTTGCTTTCTTCCTTGTTTAAGGAGTCCAAATATATTTCTGATAAAGCACCAGTCTAACAGACTGATAGCCTTAAATGCAGAAGGTAATTTGGTACAGGTTCTAATCCTCACAACAACCCTATTATTACCTCCTTTAACAGAAGGGAAAACAAAAGCACAAAAAAGCATTTAAGTAACTTGTCTAAGGCTAACAAAGGAAGCAACAAAAATTGTGAACCCAGGTAGCCTAAGTCAACGGTCCAAGCTCTTAACCAGTACGCTATTCTTTTTGAAATATTATTTTCTTAATCCCTTGTAGAAAGCACTACCATAAGTTTGATTTTCTAAACTTCCTTTTTTGGGGGGTTCTGCTTTTCTAGCCATTTTATTCCAAGGGAAACCACCTGTGAGGATACTACTGAACAGATAAGGAAGCATGATCCATAAATGTCTGGTTAGGACTTCAAAATAGAAATCTCATCTCATCAACTATTCTGCATGGCTGAGGTTGTCAATTTATAGCACAATTCTCAACAGACTTATGAAACTGCTAGAAACTTTTTTTTTTAAGCATCCTCCAACTTCCTGACAGGGCTCCCCTTTCGGCTTCTGTAAATCCTTCAGACCACTACCTTCAAGAATCAAAGACATAGACTATTCTGGTTCTTTGTGATGAACTAAGTCTGGCTAAGGTATTTACTGATAATCACAGCATTCAGAGGAACATGCCAGAAATTCAGAAATGAGAAAAGGTTCTACTTTGGGAACCTTACTTTTGGGAACACCAACAATCCTCCTATCTCCTTCATACCCCCTCTTTAAGTGAATGCAAGTTTCTGGGTCTGTGGAGTCTGGGGGATTGATTTTAATTATATTCTCCAACTCTTGTAAGAAGCAACTAAAACAAAAAAGAGGTCAATGAACTTTTTAAAAGTTAGAAAAGTTATCAAGTGTACTTATGCCCACCAAAGTAAAGGACTATCTTGATCTTACTTGAGGCAAAGTTATTTCATGACACAGCAGCCTCACCAATCTCTGCAGTTTGACCTTACTCCTTCTTTCCCAGATGATAATGAACAAATGGGTGTCCTTTCACATTCATGTCAAATGAATGTCAGATGCAGAGTAGAGATACTGAGCTGATTTAAAAACAAACCCTCTGAATGACCTATAAAATTTACACCAAAGTGACATGAACAAAATGAGGTAGAGCAGGGACGTGGGACAAGCATCATGATTAAGTGCTCCTCCCTATGATGAAAAATGCTGAGATATAAACAGTATAGTAAGAACAGGAGGGATTCCATCTTAAGGCTAAGATTCAATTTTAAAAACCAGGGAGTTAGGAGGTAAGATTCCTAACATATTTTATGGTAATCAGCCAACAGCAGACCCTATCTGAAGGCAGGGCAAGCAGTCCTAAATGTTATGTCCCCATGCTTGAGGGTACCTACTATCTTGGAGAACAGGATCAATAAATTCCNGGAAGGGATAGAAAAAAATATTTGAAAAAATAATAGCCAAAAATTTACCAAATTTACCTAAACATTCAAGATGCTCAATGAACACTAAATAGGGTAAAGTCACAGAGATCCTAAACACATCATAATCAAACTTACTTTCTGTCATGTACCTCACTGGAGGTAAATGAGCTCAGTATATATTTGATATAATCATAGGGAATGGTTTTTCTCCCACTGTAATCTTTGGAATAACATCTGACCACATTCTCTGACCCAGATGAATATTCAATCTCCTATACTAATCTTAAAGAAGCAACAGATTCAAAGAGGAAATTAAAAATCCTCTTTGGAAGAAAGAAAAAAGTACCAGCAATTGGTGACTGATTATGGCTTTTATGTGGGAATGCTCTTTTAGGTATTCAAACACAAGGCTTAACTTACCTATGGTGGCTGATTAGAGTTTCTGAAGAGCTATGAGTTAATCATTTTATTTTTGCAGCTCATTCACAAGAAAATACTGTGACATAGTGATATCTCAAGTTAAAGGATCTTAAGTAAAGAAAAAAATTAAATCTCAATAATAAACTTAAATTAGAAATTTGATTGTAGTTCTCTCTCCTCTTCACACATGAGCTTAACTCAAAGAGGTGCTAAGATAATCACACTATTTCTCTTAGGATTAGAAATTAGGGTAAACAAAAAGTTACTGATTTATTTCTCTTCTATAATACTCTGTTGTATTGACTTTCCAAACACTGTAACCATGCTTTTTATATTTATATAAAGTGTCTTCATACTGAAGTATAACAAATCACTTTGGAAACATAATGGAAGAAAAATAATAGAATACATGCTCAAAGACATATCACTATCTTCTTTTTAAGGGCATTGTAACATAAAATTTCAACCTGGAATGGAATAGTGTTTACTCTTGTTTCTCAGATGAAGATGCCAAGAAAGAAAAAGTGGGCATAAAAGGTCTTACTCAAGATTAGGAAAATACAACTATAGCAATTTCAAAAAAACCAAGTATAAATTAATGAATAAAAATATTGGGACTATGCGTATGGTAGAGAAAAGTTATATGGGTGACCTTTAGTGTTCATAATAGATACTCAGAGATGAGGACAATACCCAATTGACTAGACTTCCCCAAACTAACCTGTGATGATAAGACATTCACTGTGGTCCAGAACTTCAGTGAAGAGCCTTGAAACAATCAACTCAGGGTTGATTAAAAAGCGGATTTCTTCTTGCACAAGTCCTGCACTGGTTACACCACCTCCAACAAAGCGGTTTGCAAAATCCACCTATTTGGGAAAAGTGGCATGTTAAATGATGATCAAAAATACCTACCTATGATAAAGAATTGTACTCCCACTAAGCTCCAATCTTCCCTTCCTTTCTGATGAAATATATCTCCAAATTAGTAATCTTCCCAGGGAGAACAGTTTGTGGTTAACTGCACCCTTACCATCTTCTCACTGCAATTAACATCTCTGTATATTTCTTTGGACCCAAAACCTCAGAAGGAACCTGGAAAATGGAACTTTTAGGCAAAAGCCTCAATGTAATTATAAGGACTTTTGTTTATAAACTTTATTTGTACCTCAAGGGCCAAAAACCAAGGGAAGGTTTTATCTGGAAAGGTTTCAAGACCATTTCCCCACCATTCATTGCTCAATTTCCATTTATGTACTTCATATGACTCTATATTTTTATGTAATATGGCAATCAAATACTTGTCATTAAAGAACAGAAAAATTTAGTAATTGACCTTTTTTGGGTAACAGTTTTCTTCTGTGGAAGAATAAAGGGATGGAAATTTCAGCCCCCTAAATTCAACTGCAAACCCCGAACTGCATGAATGTTACCAACTATTGATGGAACAATATGTAAGAAAAGAAGTGGTTTCCAATTTTGCCTTACTCTATTTGAGGAGGCAGATTACACACAAACACACAATTTGCGCACATACAGAGTCATACACACACATACAAAAATGTAGTAAGTAATGTAAGAATTTAAAGTAATATGAGAGGCTTAAATACTGTATAGGAATAGACGCACTCCTGTGTCTCCTTTACTCTCCTACTACTTCTCTCCCACACTCAACACTTGACATCAGATGTGTGAGTTTCCATGCATGAAGCAATTCTGTAACACCAGCTGGGTGTCTTGAGCAATTCGAATCAGTTCTAGTGCTGTCTACCTGGAGTTAGCAACAGATTTTATAGGCCAATATTTCAGTCCCACTTCAGATGCTAATCACAAGTGCCAGGTTGTCACCTGTCTTTCTAGTTAACTAGCTGTAAACTGGGGTTCCCAAGATCCTCCCTTCCTGGGGGTTGATAATTTGCTAGAATAGATCACAGAACTCAAGGTAATACTTACATTTACCAATGTATTAAAAAAGCTATAAAAAAGGATACAGATCAATAGCCAGATGAAGAGATACATAGAGAAAAGTATGTGGGAAGAGTCACAGTTACCATGCCCTCCCTGGGGAAGTCACTCTCCCAGCACCTCCACATGTTCACTAACCCAGGAACTTTCTGAGTCTCATATTCTGGGGATTTTTGTAGATGCTTTATCATGTTGGCATGGTTGATCATTAACTCAGTCTTCAGTACCTCTCTCTTTCCCAGAGGTGGGGGTAGAGCAGAAAGTTCCAAACTTCTAATCATGGCTTAATCTTTCTGGTGACCAGTGTCTAACCTGAAGCTATCTGAAAGTCCATCAAGAGCTGCCTCATTAGAACAAAAGGCATGTCTATCACCCACAAAATTCCAAGGGCTGTAGAATATCTGTTGCAGAAATAAGAGTCAAAGACCAAATAATAGAGCAAAAGATGCTACTAGTACTCTTACCACTTAGAAAATTTTCAGGAGCTCTGTGCCAAGAATGAGGGGCAGAGACCAATATATACATTTTCTCACTTATACCTTCTATTATCTCACATATATTTTCAGACTATTGTCAAACAGAAGATTTCTCAAAACTTCTGTTCTCTAAAGCAATTATTTATATTAAATGATAACCTGAAGCCTATTTTACAAAAGAGTAAAACAAGAATATGAATCTCTGATATGTAAAAATACATGTGAAAAAACAGAAATTAATAGAAAGTACAGTCTTCTCTCACGGCAGAAAAACTTAGAAAATACTGAAAAATATGATTGGTCTGGTTCTTGAAATGAGTTACCACAGAAAATATTTATTTGGGTTTATATTCTAGCATACTAAATCAACACTAAAAAAATCAGAGGAACTCTTCAGCTTACATAGAAAAGTAGTTTTGGTTAAACTAGTTCATTGATTAAAATTAGTTCCCTTACTACATATGAGGTCTTTATGTATTGGGTGATTTACGGCTTCAACTGTTCAATTCAATAAATACTCACTGAATATTGTACTGGGAACCATGGGATACAAATATAAATAAGACAGGTTCCTGGCTTTACAACATTTACAATGTAGATGGGAGTCAGGCAAACAGAATAAGATGATTATTAAAGAAAATATGAGTATGTATCCTATACTTCTCAGATAATACAATTAACTAAAATTGGAGCATGGGGAGGAAGGGCAGGGGATCATTACAAGAGGACATGGCATTCAATCTAGGTATGCTGACATTCACCCTGAGGGAAAGCTATACAAGGACACTGGAAAAACCAACTGCCAAGAGCTGTATGAGGAGAGTGGTGAGCAGATCCTTCATGCCTGTCTGCAGTATAGAGTATGTGAAGGGTTAACAGTTGGTGATGTGATGTTTTGGGATCCAGGAAATTTTAAGTTAATTCTGAAGGTTCTGGGAAATCTTCTAAAAAAAATAGTAACAACTGGACCTGTATTTTAGGAAGATAACTAAGGCTTGAGTTTAAAGAATGAACTGGAAAAGTGTAAAATTAAAAGCAAAGGTTAAAAGGCTGGTTAAGTGACTACTGAATAGTTTATAGACAGCACTACTAGGACCTCCAACAGGGCAGTGGGAAACAAGGTGAAGGGAACAGAGACTCAGCGAAGAAATAAAATGGACAGCACTTGAAAACTGAGAGACTGGCTAAGTAAAATGGTACTGTGAATGCAAATGAGAAACAAAGTTTGAGATCAGCTAAGCTTAATGTACTGGAACAAGGTACATAACTAAAATAAAAGATATGCTCTATTTACCTTATGTACTATTTGGTAATGGTAAGTGAAATACATTTAATGTGCAGGCTACTATTCATTCTTTCAATAGAAGGCCAACTTTTATTACTTGAAAGGTATGCATAGATATAAATATACTAAACTCAGTATGCCTCTGAAAGCAGCGGTCTTTTAGAAAATCAAAGTTTCTACTACTTAAAAAAGTTCTTAATAAGAGTTCTTTCTATTACAGGTGAGAAACCTGTTCCAGTACATGTAAACAAGCATATGATTGATTCTTTATTTATAGTCAGTCATTTTCCAGCTCACTTTACTTTAAAGCTACTTGTTCAGATTACTCAGTTTCTGAATTACAACCTGATGAAAGGAGAGAAATGATAACCCTTCTTAAAGAGGTTTTGTTGTTGGCAATCAGCATAATACACATGGAGCTTTGCAGCGATACAATACAGTATTCCGATCTCCTGGAGACACATGGCATGCTTCGGGAGAGTAATTTAATAGAAGCCTTTATAGTATTCTTTTAATCTACTGAGGTTTCACATTTCATTTATAATATATTCTAGGGAAGTGGGGGGAATCTCAGCCTTGAATGTTGTTAAGTAATTCTTCATTGAATTGTATTGTAATGAAAGGTCAGCATTCCTGTGGTGCTAACTAGCAGCAGCTTTGTTATTTCATGTATATTGACTCCCTCAATTAATCCAAGAGTTTAATATAGAAAAGAACATTATCAAGATGGAAATGTGGGGGAAAAGTGATACTCATTTGAAACACATTTTAACCATACTTCAACATTATTGTTTTAAAATAGAAGAAAAGGTACCAATCAAATACAAATTCAAAAAAAATTTTAAGTTCAGTACAAATATTAATTCACTTATCCTATGTATTTTTGTTTATAATTGCAAATAACCATAAGCAAAAGGTGATTTAAAACAAAAAATGCCTTGCTTCTTTGAAGACTTCAATTACAAATATGTTTAAATAAAAGATCATCCTAAAATGAAGTTTCATGAGACAATTAGAGCTTAAGTATAAAATAACTAGCCAAACACACAACAGTCTAGTCATTTTACAATAAGCATTGTTATTCAAACAAATCAGCCCATTCTCAGGCAACTGCTTTATTTAACTTCTGACCCAAAATAAGTATCAAGAAAGGATGAAAGTAGAAAACTCAGCTATCCTGGTATAAATGAAATGATGTACAAGCTTCTTTCAAAGAAAACTGAGATTACAATGCTCTTCTAAATGAGATAAGAACACAAATCACTAACATTTTGCCTCTCATTACTGATTTTTAAAAAAAGATCACTATAAAGCAAAAGGAAATTATATATTCAGGTTACATATTAGAACAATGTAAAGCTAGACACGCAGGATGTTTAATTTGTTAACTCCTTTTTCCAAAAAAAATATATACTTATAGTAAAGACAGTAACAGATTGATAGCAAAGACTGAGACATGAACAAAATTATTTGTTCTAAAACAGGGAAAGACAGCCAGCATAGTTGGCTCACAAGCCTAAAATTTACAGATGGGAGAGAGGACTTTCTTACCTATCAGTTTTTGATGTCTGCCTCCTAGACCTAAACAAGGCTGGTGGCAGAAAAGCATTTCAAGCTGGTCATCACTAGGGCAGAGCAAGAGCCTTTAAAGAACAAAACTGCCTCGTGACAGCTTGTCAAGACCATACCCTAGGAACTTCTTCCCCTGTCAATCTACAATTAGTGTCTGAACCAAGAGGCCTGATGTTATCCAGATCTTAGGATTTTCTGTCAAAGGCTTTTTAAAGAGGCACATGTAAGTAAGAGAGAGTATACATTGGCAAATAATATTACCAAGGCTGTCAAGATGATCTGTTTGGTATTTTCCTCCATTCTGCTATCATGCTTCCTTGCATTAAATCAGTTTAGAAGATAAATAAACCGTTTTTCAAATTTCCTTTGCTGTCAAAAGCTTGACAGGAGAAAGCCCCAAAAACGTGCACACTGCTGTGATTCACCTACCTGTAGCATGCCTTGACCATTTCTTTCTATGGTACCTTCGTAAGTGACATGCAATCGAGTCAGGGGTTTTTCACATCTACGATTTAAAAAGATATTCCTGTATTTATTTTGTAATGACAAGTATTTCATGGCAGAAAAATCTGAAAATATACATAACCATAAAAGAAAAACTGGAACCACTCCAAATCTCAAAAGACAGAAAGATGCCTACTGTTAACATTCTTGGTATACATTCTCCCAAACTTCCTCTTATTCAAATATATAAATATACATATTTAAATTTAAATGGGATAACATACTGTTTGAAATGTGTTTTTCCCCTATCAGTTTTTCCTCTTTAAATGTTGAAAAACTTCTCAAAATATAAAAAATTAAGATCTATGAAATATTATTATTATGCTAGAGTTGGTAACCTAAGACAACATACAGAAAAAACTGGCAATAAATCATGTGTGACTCTCAGATGAGCAGTATCTTCACTAGTTTGATAACCATGAGTCTTATGGTGGAGGGTGGAGGGAGGTGCGGTGTCCTTATGAGAACATGCCACAGAAATTGTGACCTACAGTATTTCTTTTTGAATCATTGTTAATATTTAAATATAAAAAGCAATGACTTTTTAGACGTATACACAGATCTAATAGCCAAAATGTACAGAGGAAACGAGCTCCTGCTCTGTCGTCCACAGTCTTCATCCTGTGGTTGAAGCTGCTGCCTGCCTGCCCTCCTTTCCAACATACAGAGTTCACAGTGGCTGCTTTATGCTGTGATGCATTTTGTATTTCATATTGTGTGCATGTCCCTCCCCAACATCTCCATTCTTAAAAACAAAACAGTCATTAATGGTCAGGGGTACATCTTTCCTAATGGCATCAGTTCCTACCCCACAGTGGGATAGTGAGGGGATCTTGCGGTCAAGGGTAATTTAGTGAAATGGGTGGGAAGGCCAGGGCTGGAAAAACTGCATCGCTGTACTCTGGTTATAGTGAGGAGAGAAGAAACAAATCAGGATGGTGTGGAGGACACATGTGCAAGTTGGGAATTTCCATGGGACAAGACTGATCTTAGATCAATGTGCAAAGTTAAAAGAAAAAAAATCCAAATAATCAGCAGTTCAAACACTATCAAATCTTCAAACTTCTCCGACCAAGATGGATCAAGTATAGAAGTAACTATTATCTTTCCAGGAAGTGAAGGTAGAGCCTCTGGCATTCCTGCTAACAACTCTGTGTTGGGACCTAGAAGCATCTGCCGTTGCTGCAGTTGCTGCTGTTGCCCCATTTGCAACTTCTCAGTCTCAAAGACAATAGAACCAACCAGGATCGTGAAGGAAGTAGTCCCAATCCATAAGGCTGCCCTGGAAAACCTGTACATTTTCTGAGTCACAAAGAGGGAGAGGACCTTCTCGGGAAACATTTCCATCAGACCCCATGGTCTCTCCGACAGGGTTTCATCTAGCTCCTCGTCGTCTTCCTCTTCCAGCTCCTCCTCAGTCTTCTCAGCATCGCCTTTCAGAAGCAATTCGTCCAGGGACAGGGGCGCACCAGGGCCAGCGGCGGGGGCGGCCATGGCTGAAGGGAGACTCCGGAAGCGGAAGAGCTACAGTATTTTTATATTAACTAAATTGATGGATGAACCTAGTACCTTCTTCCCTGAAACATAAAACCCTCAAGTGCAAGGTGCCCTCCCTATATCTGGAGGAAGAGAACATCCATATCTCTGAAGACAAAGGGTTGCCAAGAAGACTCCTCATCCTGTTAAGGCCTTGAAAAGTTTCCCCTAGTTTACTACAATTACTTCATACTCCTCATCTTGTTACATTCCTCCACAGTTGCCCATTCTTCACCAAGCCTATCATAAGAGTATACGGGTCTAACAGGTCTGTTTCTTTGATCCTTGTTTCCTTATGAAGGCTCCCGTGTGAAACTTACATGAAATAAATTGCATGCATTTCTCCTGTTAATCTGTCTTTGCCAATTTAATTTTCAGATCCCACCAAGGGCCCCAAGAGGATCAAGATAAACCATTCTCCTCCTTTATAGTGTTTACCTGGCTTGTATTATCTTAAAAAAACCAATTCCATTTTATTAATAGCATTTGATGATGCCATTTTTCTCTAGTAAACTTCTTCCCCTGGTTACTTACTGAATAAAAAATAAATTATAATGGAATGTAACAGATGAGATCCAAACCCCTTAATTATATAAGGGTGGCATTAATTGGGGGTTGGAAGAGAATCCATTTTTTAAAGAAACAAGTTAGCTGGGGATGCACTATTTATTTACTGGGATTTGCTTTCTTCCTTGTTTAAGGAGTCCAAATATATTTCTGATAAAGCACCAGTCTAACAGACTGATAGCCTTAAATGCAGAAGGTAATTTGGTACAGGTTCTAATCCTCACAACAACCCTATTATTACCTCCTTTAACAGAAGGGAAAACAAAAGCACAAAAAAGCATTTAAGTAACTTGTCTAAGGCTAACAAAGGAAGCAACAAAAATTGTGAACCCAGGTAGCCTAAGTCAACGGTCCAAGCTCTTAACCAGTACGCTATTCTTTTTGAAATATTATTTTCTTAATCCCTTGTAGAAAGCACTACCATAAGTTTGATTTTCTAAACTTCCTTTTTTGGGGGGTTCTGCTTTTCTAGCCATTTTATTCCAAGGGAAACCACCTGTGAGGATACTACTGAACAGATAAGGAAGCATGATCCATAAATGTCTGGTTAGGACTTCAAAATAGAAATCTCATCTCATCAACTATTCTGCATGGCTGAGGTTGTCAATTTATAGCACAATTCTCAACAGACTTATGAAACTGCTAGAAACTTTTTTTTTTAAGCATCCTCCAACTTCCTGACAGGGCTCCCCTTTCGGCTTCTGTAAATCCTTCAGACCACTACCTTCAAGAATCAAAGACATAGACTATTCTGGTTCTTTGTGATGAACTAAGTCTGGCTAAGGTATTTACTGATAATCACAGCATTCAGAGGAACATGCCAGAAATTCAGAAATGAGAAAAGGTTCTACTTTGGGAACCTTACTTTTGGGAACACCAACAATCCTCCTATCTCCTTCATACCCCCTCTTTAAGTGAATGCAAGTTTCTGGGTCTGTGGAGTCTGGGGGATTGATTTTAATTATATTCTCCAACTCTTGTAAGAAGCAACTAAAACAAAAAAGAGGTCAATGAACTTTTTAAAAGTTAGAAAAGTTATCAAGTGTACTTATGCCCACCAAAGTAAAGGACTATCTTGATCTTACTTGAGGCAAAGTTATTTCATGACACAGCAGCCTCACCAATCTCTGCAGTTTGACCTTACTCCTTCTTTCCCAGATGATAATGAACAAATGGGTGTCCTTTCACATTCATGTCAAATGAATGTCAGATGCAGAGTAGAGATACTGAGCTGATTTAAAAACAAACCCTCTGAATGACCTATAAAATTTACACCAAAGTGACATGAACAAAATGAGGTAGAGCAGGGACGTGGGACAAGCATCATGATTAAGTGCTCCTCCCTATGATGAAAAATGCTGAGATATAAACAGTATAGTAAGAACAGGAGGGATTCCATCTTAAGGCTAAGATTCTATTTTAAAAACCAGGGAGTTAGGAGGTAAGATTCCTAACATATTTTATGGTAATCAGCCAACAGCAGACCCTATCTGAAGGCAGGGCAAGCAGTCCTAAATGTTATGTCCCCATGCTTGAGGGTACCTACTATCTTGGAGAACAGGATCAATAAATTCCTTGTGTTAAGTTTATCTTACAGAATATCTAGAGGACTGATCACAGATGGTGACATGATGTCTCTCACCAGAGACAGTCATCATGAGACCACATGCCAACCTTATACCCTCAGGCCCTTTGCCCCATTCTTGAAATCCTTAGAAGACATGAATCTGAAGCTCTAAGCACACCTCCTTTCAGAGGCTGCCCTCATTCCCCTTTGTTCGAGTGTGTACCTTGCCTTAAATAAAGCCTTCTTACTGTGTTTATAAAGCTTAACTTGCTGCGTTTTGTTCTCTGTACTCTTCCAGTGGTAAATGTCTTTGTTACTTCATTATTTCATTCAATTCTCTAGACTTAAGCACAAGTCTTCAATCTCTGTTTTACTCAGACAAGCAGGGAAGGGCTACTGAGATCTCCAATTTGGGCTTGAAGTTCCTGTTGCCTGGGTGACAGCACTGCATCTGTACAATCATGCTCTTTAGTAGCCTGCCCAAAAATCTCCTTTCTCTACCTCTGGGAAGTTCTCAGAACATACCTCATTCCATCCAGTGCTCTGCAGCTCCCATAAATCCTGGGGTGGTAGGGGCTTAGTCCGCAAATCATGCAGATTCAAGCAGACACTGGATGCCAGGAGACCCTGGCTTCAGGAGTTAGAAAGGGATCTGCCCTATGCCGAGCAGGAGGTCAATGAACTTTCTTTTGCTCCCTCTGTTCTTCCTCACTCTCTACTGCCTGCCAGCTGCTGCCATTCACTACTACTCTTGCTTTAATGAATTCCTTCTTAAACACAACTTGATGGAACTGTTCATGAATTCTTTCTCACTCAGGCAAGAACCCTCCCTGATCAAGGCTGAGGTTTCACCTAGTGCGCAGGGAGTGACCTCCCCAGATGCAGCTGCCCAATAACAAAAACTTCAATATTCCTATTAGAGATTAATAGAAGAGCTAAGAAAACAATCCTCTGTACTCTGGTCCCAGCAGATAACACAGCAGATTGTTACTTTTACTACGAGGCACCATATTTTAAGAGGGACCAATGGCTTGAGGAGAGATAAAGAGTTTAGAATTCATATAATATGTGGAAAAGAAGAAATGAGTAAGTGTAGTATGTACCTTTGGACACTATCAGAAGTAGGGCTGGGTCAACAAAGTATTAAGATACATGGAGGGTCAAATGTCAAGAAAAATTACATTTACTTATTGTAGCTCCAGAAGGAAGAACCAAGAATGGGAGAGGGAGGGAGAATTATTTGGAAGATGGACTTTTTTAGTGAATGGAGGTATGAGGTAATAACACAAGCAGCTGACACTGGGATAGACTGAGGTGAACAGTGAATTGCCCATCACTGAAGATGTCTGTCATCTATCAGAGGAAATAAAGAGTCGACTGATAATTTTAGTAGGCAGCTGGACCACATGACTTCCTGGGGTCCTTTTTCTGTCAAATATCATGACTCCAAAATGCTGTACATGTTCTCTTCCATTCTGGCTCAAATTTGTTTTTGTTTTTCTTCAGGTTGCTTAATCGTCTATTTACTTACCTCTACTAATAATCATCTAAGCCATACAGCCAGCCTGCCAAAGAAGCTTTTTTTCTTTCACCCCACAAATAAACACCTTTGATAGATGAAAACACCATGGGAAAGACACCTAGGCAGATGTGCCTTCTTGAATTAACTCCTTTAAGAGTGAGTCCCTTTTGTCACTAATTCCAAACAAAAACTTACAAACTATAATAAAAACTACTAGAAAGTGAAAATAAAAGAGAGGCATTGGCTAATATGAATACACACCCAAAATTTGCATTGTCTGATCACATCATGTACATTGAGAAAGTTGATCTATTCTTTAAGTAACGAGAATTTGTTTTAGATTAACATGTTTAAATATTTCAGGGCAATAAGGAATTTACAAATCTAAGTGAACGCAGATTTGTTATTATTTTTCTCAGTATTTGCAGATAAATAATAATAATAATTAAAAAATCCAGTATGTCAACAACTTCCACAAAACTTGCCAATAGTAGGCATGTGCAGCACTTCAAAATTCTGAACACTCAAACTCTAATTACTATTTATATTTTAGTTTAATAAAAAAAAAAAACTTCCTCCAATCTTTTGCTCCAGAAAGAAAAGCCATAAAATACAAACCCTAACCAAAAAATGAGAGTAAGAAGGAAAATAAAACATTGGTGTTTTGTTTAACATTAGTGTTTTCACACACAAAATTCCTTAATTCTAAATGGGACTTTGTTTCAGAAGACAAAACTAAGACAAAAGGGAAATCAAAGGGTTGCAACTTGGAATCAAAAGGCATGACTTTCTAAACAATGACAGCTATCAACAGATCCTTTGTAAGAAGAAACTCCCCAGCACTTGGGCAATTGAGAGGCTGGACTCGAGAGGCTGGGCAACCATCTTTCCAGGGCAGTAAAATAGAATTATCTTGTGGTAAAAAGAGTTCTACTAATTCTAAGATTCCAGGATTATTTTTATTATTATTACCTTTCCCACTCTGGAAAATCTTCAAGACTCTGTCTTGTAAATGTCACCAACCCAGTAGGTTCTAGAAAAGCAAAAAAAGAAAAACACACTCAAAATAAGTTTCGATTTTGAAAAGATTATACATATTCAGTAAAAGAATGGGTCTAACAATGGCTTTAAAACTATTAAGGAAACACCTAGACCAGTGATAGAATACAACAGAAGATTAATTTAAAATAATATTATCCTTACAATAGGGACGCTTTCTATAAAATAGGAAGCCTTTACTGAAACACAAAACTATACAAGTAACAGCACAACAATAGAATCTGAATGCTGGTACTTCTTGGCGAAGTTTTCAAAACTGAATACACTTGAAAGAAAACTATTGGAAAAAAAAAGGGTACATAATGGGTATACATTATACAATAAAGGCAAACTATTAATTTTAATCTATATGCTCCTTAAAGAAAACCCTTAACTCAATTGGCTTAAAAATGGTGGCATGAGAAATGAGACAGCAATCTCTTCTGAAAACAACATGTAATATGAAAACACAGCAAATACAACTGATCCAGAAAGAGCAACAGGAAAGAAGGCTGCAGAAGACTGCATACACCTGAGAAACAGAGCAGACATCATGGAAAAGTGTAAAGTACCAAAGCTGTGATCTGGTGGAAGACAAGCCCTTCCCCAACCCCAGCTCAAAAGCAGGAAGAAGAGAAACAGAAAAGGGAGGGGGTGGAGACCTAGGACTGCTGAACACCCATCCCTTGAGATCTGCTCTGAGAGCATGAACCTACATTATATGGTGCTCTGGACATTAGTGGGATTGGGAAGCTAAAACAGGCAGAATACTTGGAGAGACTAAAATTTCAGCCACTTGTGGAGAACAGGTACCCTGTACCGGCTGCTCTGAGAAAAAAAAAAGGTGGGCACTCTGAGAAAGTTCCTAACAGCTAGAGGGTTGCTAAAGGGGCAAGGTTTGCACAGAGCTTGCTGCTCAGGAGAAAGGACAGGTGCATAAAATTGTCCTGGCGCACTCACCCCAGCAGGTTGGGAATTTTCAGGAGCTTCAGGCACTCCATCCCTCGGGCTGGCAATGCAGCTACAAGGCCCTCAACTGCAATATACAGCCTGCCACTTCTTCATCCAAGCTGACACCAGCTCGCAAACTGGCTACCACTGCTACTGCACCAGGCCAATCAGAGGGTGGCCTGGCCTATGGAAGCTACAAGTGTATAATGCAGTGGCTCCTCCCTGTGTGCTTGGCCCACTGCCTCTGGCAGTGAAGGCAGGCACTGTAGCTGGGAAGCAGGAAAGAGCTCTTTCCTCCCAGCAGACACCAGCACCACTCACCTGCAATTCCACCATCACTCCAGGGGCTGAGCAGCTCCAGAAAATAGAGTTTCTGGGCACTAAGGGGGTGCCACCTACAAAAATGAAACGTCTAAGGAACCTGGTTCAAACCAAAGTTCCACAAACACCAGAAAGAGGGCCAAATGAAACTGAACTCATCAATTTCTCTGCAAGAAATTTCAAAATAAAAATCATAAACATGCTCATGGAGCTGGAGAAAAGAATTCAAGACCTCAGGGACGAATTCAAGAATGAGATATTGAAAAATACAGCATCTGAAATGAAACATACAATGGAGAGATTTAAAAGCAGATTAGAAGAAGTAAAGGAGACAGAATATGAAATAGAAATTAGAGAAGAGTAATACAAAGAAGCTGAGGCACAGAGAGAAAAAAGGATCTTTAGGAATGAAAGAATATTCAGAGAACTGTATGACTGATCCAAACAGAAAAATATTCGCATTATAGGAATACCAGAAGAAGATGAGAAAGAAAAAGGGATAGAAACTGTCTTTGAGGAGGTAATTGCTGAAAACTTCCCCAGTCTGGGAAAGGAGATAGTCTCTCAGGCCATAGAGGTACACAGATCTCCCAACACAAGGGACCCAAGGAAGACAACACCAATACATATAATAATTAAAATGGCAAAGATCAAGGATAAGAACAGACTATTAAAAGCAGCCAGAGAGAGAAATAAGATCACATACAAAGGAAAGCCCATCAGGCTATCATCAGATTTCTCAGCAGAAACCTTACAGGCCAGAAGCAAGTGGCATGATATATTTAATGCAATGAAGCAGAACGGCCTCAAACTAAGAATTCTTTATCGGGGAAGATTAACATTTAAATTTGAAGGAGGGATTAAGCAATTTCAAGATAAGCAAAAGCTGAGAGAATTTACCTCCCACAAACCTTCTATACAGTGTATTTTGGAGGGACAGCTATAGACGGAAGTATTTCTAAGGTTTAATAGCTGTCACCAGAGGTAATAAAACCACAGTAAAGAAAGTAGAACAGCTAATTACCATGCAAATGCAAAATTAAATCAACTATCCCCTAGGTCAGTAAAGGAATAAACAAAGAATACAGAATATGATACCCAATACATAAATAATGGGTGAGAAAGAAAAAGGAGGAAAAAATAAAAAAAGAACCTTTAGACTGTTATTGAAATAGCATACTGAGTCAAGTTAGACAATTTGATACTAATAAGATACCCTTGAACCTTTGGTAAACACAAATCTACAGCCTGCAAAGGCAATAAATCCATATCAATCGATAATCACTCTAAGTGTAAATGGTCTGAATGCATCAATCAAAACACATAGAGTCACTAAATGGATTAAAAAAACAAGACCCAAGGGGTAGAACCAAGATGGCAGCATGAGTAGGACAGTGGGAATCTCCTCACAAAAACATATATATTTTTGAAAATACAACAAATACAACTATCCCTAAAAGAGAGACCAGAAGACACAGGACAACAGCCAGAGTACATCCACACCCGCGAGAACCCAGTGCCTGGCAAAGGGGGTAAGATACAAGCCAAGGCCTGGCGAGACCTGAGCGCTCCTCACTCCAGCTCCTGGCAGGAGGGAGCCCAGGACTGCTAAATAGCCAGCCTTAGCCATCTGCACCAGACTGCAGACACAGTGCGTGCGTGGGGTGCTGGAAACTAGGGAAACAGGACAGTAAGACCTCTGAGCAGGTCCCCACAGCCTGTGCACCTGGGACAAAGAAAAGCGAGTCCTTTTTGAAAGTCTTAAAGGGACAGGGACCCCACGGCAGGACAGAAGCGTCCCGGGACACTTAGCCAGGCAGCTGGGAATCCTGGGGAACTCCAGGCGCATTTACCCAATGGGAAGCAACTCTGAGACC